CGTCCACAAAATTAATATGCCAGTATCTTCATTAAATATTGAAGCACCCAAAGCTGGTTCAGAGTTGACGTCGGTAAAAATGAAGTTGCAGGGGGCCGCTTCACCTTCTCTGCTGCATACCCTTAGTAACACAGTATCCCAGTGTCCAACTGATTTTCTAAACCTTCTTTAATTTTCGGCAATGTCAGATTCCCTTCAACCTTTTTGCTAATCCGTTTTAGGCTCAGGCTCAAAACTCCATTCCTTTGCTCAGAATCGTTCCTGAGTACCACTACAGGCTCACAATGCCGACGTACCATATGAACCGACACTTAAACCATAAGAAGCTCAGAGACATAGAGCATACTGAAGTGGCCTCCTCCCAGTAAAATTCCACCATACGTCTCTTAAATTATTGCTTGCACCAACTCCAGACCGTTTCTGAGAGATGTTGGTCAGGTCAAGAAAAGTGAAACTTCGTCATACAAGAAGGAAATGAAGGAAAAGAAGAACGAACCAGTGGAGAATCTTTGACAATTTGGTATAAACGATGGATTTGGATCATTGTTGGAGACTAGCCCATTTGACTCGATTTCTATATTGTCAGTTTTTCATATTAGAAATCAGTGATTCATTTCCATATTGATAAGATGTTCGATAAAGAGGTGAACTTAGTTGACCCACAATGGAAAAGGATGCACGTAACGGCAGAGGTTGCGAAATGAGATGGATAAAAACGACGCGGAAATTAAACCGACATACTTTCTTTGGTGGACACTGCAACTGTTTTCAAAATGCCCATTCCTGCATGGGAACCCGTAGAAATGACGTTTGCATGATCGGTGTGACAAACCTATCCTCCTAAACATCTGTAATTGAAAGTCTCGCGGCGGAAGTTACGGTATCCCATGTAACCATAACTTGGGTGTTCAACCCCACCGAGTGACTGCGCTGCGGAGGAACTTTTGGGATGAGGTTATATGACAATGATGGTGTCGGATGATTACCGCTTTGGAGACACGATCCCTTCACCGAAAGTCTTTCGATGAGCGGTAATTCCATCACCGATGGCTATCACCCTCTTGTATCTGAGGTTTTAGGCCCTACCCGTTTCTCCGAGTCACAAGCAGGCTTTGCTTCAGGGGGATGGGTTTCAATAACCGTGCACGAAACAAGCTAACCTATTATCCACCAATTGACGATGCAAGCCTCCAACCCGTGGAACAGGGAAAGCCCTCGGACCATTACTGTATAACACTTTGTGATTCGGAATAGTGGAACTATTCCGAATCACATCAAAGCCAGGAAGCGTCTTAGAGCCATAGAGGTTATTGCTTTGGTAGAGGGAATGCCAAATACTCGGAAATGGCCCTTCTGGTATTATAGGACTCCAAACGGCGAGTATTTTGTGTCTCAAAATCATTATAGTCATGTTTTATTCACGACAAATTCTTGATTTGAATCAATATCTAATGCACATGAATGACCTAAGATGGATTTCCACCAATAACAATAAAACATTTCACAGAAGGAGTGACCATGGGATCTCTATGCAGCTAATAGCTATTCCTTAAATAAATTATATTTACAAAAAAGAAGATCATAAGTGTTACAACTGTAATGGGATTCATGCAGTTTCTGTTAAACGCAGGAGGCTAGTTCAAATTAAAGTGGAATTAGTATTGTTAAAGATCAAAATGTAAACTCATAAGGTCAGTAGGGAGACAAAATGACAAGACTACAGCCTACTGAAAAGCTAAGCAACCTTCGCATTCAGCCATGAACACGACCAGCAATAAGGTGTTTGATGACATCTTCATCGACCAGAGTAGTGATATCTCCCATGCCGGACTCGGAACCTTCAGCAATTTTGCGCAAGATACGACGAGTCACCTTTCCCGAACGGGTCTTTGGAAGACCAGGAGCCGACTGAATCACTTCGGGAATAGCGATCGCCCCGATTTTCACGCGAACCATGTTCTTGAGCTCTTGCGCAAGTGCTGCGTCCATTTTTTCGCCGTTGTTAAGAGTAACGAAAGCATAAGGGAATGAGCCTTTGATGTCGTGGGGAGCAGCCACGACTGCGGCTTCCGCGACCTGAAAGAGGGAAAGTTGAGCGATCCCTAGCAAGCCTGCATTTTGAAGACTCACCTTTTCGTGCGCCACAAGTGCGCTCTCGATTTCAGCCGTCGATAACAGATGACCAGAGACATTCATTAAGTCATCAACGCGACCTGTTATCCACAGATAGCCGTCTTCATCACGACGTGCGCCGTCACCAGTGAAATAGTAGCCGTTAAATGGTGCGAAATAGGTCTTTACGAATCTGAAATAGAAACATTAGTGAAATGAAACCTGTTGCTACACGCGTAAAGGGAGTCAGACACAAACCTTTCGTGATCACCGAACACGGTACGCAGCATTCCTGGCCATGCACGATCAAAGCACAAATTCCCTTCACCTGGACCTTCGATCACACGACCATCAGCATCCAGGAGTACAGGGTTCACTCCAAAGAACGGATATGACGCTGCACCTGGCTTCATTGGGGTCGCACCAGGAAGCGGTGTAATCATATGTCCACCCTACAGAAAACAATCCTATCTTGTAGCAAGAAACGATGCCCTTACACTCTAAACGTACTGTTTCAGTCTGCCAGAAGGTGTCAACAATGGCGCATCTGCGTTCACCAACAACTTCGTACAGCCACTTCCACGCTGCTGGATTTATCGGTTCACCAACAGTCCCCAGAATTTCTAGGGAAGCACGCGAATGCCTAAATCAATCATTGTAATTAACCAATACAGAACAGACGGAACAGCAAACTTCGAATAGGAAGCGACATCGCTTACTTCTTCACGTGCTCATCCCCCATAGCCATGAGTGCTCGGACAGCGGTCGGAGAAGTATACAGTTTGTTCACCTGGAACACTCTCATAATATTGATTCAGGGAAGATCGAGTTAACGTAGGAAACTTGCCTTGTACTTGTCAGTGACTTCCCAAAGCCGATTAGGGCCCGGATAACTAGGTACTCCCTCGAACCACACCCCAGTCAACCCATTCATCAACGGCCCATACAGCAAGTATCTGAACAATTGTATTTATAATAATACGTCCTGAATCATGATATATTGCCTCGATTAGCCTATATAATAAAAAGCCTTACGTGTGCCCCGTAATCCAACCACAGTCCGCGGTACACCAATACACATCGCGCTCAAAGTGAGCATCAAAGGTGTTCTTCGTGGTGTAATAGGCATAAACCATATAACCAGCAGTAGAATGTTGGATTCCTTTGGGCTTTCCCGTCGAACCACTACAAAAAATGCACTGATGATTGCTCTTACCCACCGATGGCAAGAAAAAAGGCATGTCTTTTATGTAGTATTAGCAAGAACTCAAATATTACCAACCCAGGAGCTAAGCAATCATTAAATAAAAACAACTACCCGTGAACAACTCAACGCCAAAATCTAAAGAAATTGAAACATAGTGAGATCAACTCCTTAGAAAGGCACTGTAGCAGAAGGGCAAGACTGCGAAAAAACTGTGTGAAGATGTTTTTGCATGTGAGCGGTCTCCTTCGGTAACATGGGCGAAAAAAGAAAGAAATTCTGAATCCAGGGAGGTGTCACGAAAAAATTATGTTGTGTAACAAGACAGTATTCTCATAGTGGCAGTGGTAGGCCAACCCTTCTACATTAGTGATAGCGTAAAAAAGAACTACATTACAACCTCAAACTAGGCAGAGACTTGGTGTTGGTGGTTTTACAGAGATGAAACAATCTGACAGTTAACTCACGACGTGTAAAGCAAGAACAGCGGACTTTCGGCGTCCATCCATTCCACGGGGGACTCCACTCCCTTATACTTGGCCATTTCAATCGTGTAGTCGAAGTCGATGGGATTCATTCGCGCATCCTTAAAAAGGCGCATAGCATAGCCAAAGAAGATAGCTTGACGCATTCAAAGAATAACAATGTACAATCTACATACTGCAGGAGTGCTGCACGTCTTCGGAACGGTGACTCTCTTCTGATGGGATACGAGAATAACCGAATTCACGACTACTCCACCATCAGCGGCTATATTGACGGCCTCGTCGGCTATCTTCTTGAGATTCACATGCTTAGCTCCGCGGAAGAACCCGTCAGCAGTGACAAGGATCCGACAACTAAATACCGAATTTCCTTCGCTCATACCATTACGCAGAAAAAAAAACATATCAATATGTGCTCACTTCGCATCAATTATTCGGGACCCTAGCGCTGGAGCGGAGAATCCAGCAAAAACAACCGAATGCATGGCGCCTGGAAAGGATGGGATGTCATATTTGAATCCAAACATGATTGAAATCAAGGGTGAATTCACCCTCGCGGCTTACCTATTCGAGTACACGCTAACATGGCCACAGCCAGTTCCGTGATCATAGGGAGGTACAAGGCTACAACATCCCCTCTCCGAACACCATGAGCACGTAAAACGGCTGAGAAATTCACAACCTAAAACGACTTTTTTGCAGGGGACGGGGGAATGAGACGTCTTCGTGACTCACCTGGGCATGGAGCTCATTATAGGTTATCTTGAAGTTGTCTAGGGGCTCATTTCCTTCCCAAATGTAGGCGATCTGTAGAAAAAACCATTAGAGAAAGTATAGAGAATCCTTTTAGGTTAAACAGACTTCACTCACCTTATCGCCCAACCCGCGCTTAATATTTCGTTCGAGACAGTTGTAGGAGATGTTTGTTTTCGCACCATCCATGAAGCGGCAGAAGATATCGCCTTTCTTGGCGTCGAAATTCCATTCCAACCCCTGAAAATGCCCACTTCATGAGCATTTCTCCAAGAAAGAGGGATATAAAGCTGGTTGATAAAACATGAACCCAGTAAAGAAAACGTTTTGACAAAACTTACCTTCGAAGAGCCTTCAGCGAAGTAGAGCTCTTCAGCGACGCTCTTCCAGAAGGCATCAGAATTATTTATGGAAGCGCGATATTTATCGCGATAGGATTGAAGACCAGACACATGAGCTCCAGCAAGCAGGGGTGCAGGAGGCAGGAATATCTAAAACTCTAAGTTCTGCAAGTTGCAAAAATATAATATATGTACAAGCGAAGAACAGACAGACTAAAAAAAAATTTTAAAAAAATGATTAAATTCTCACGCAGACTGCAGAGTACAACTCGTTATTTGTTGAGATTGAGGGATAACTGGTTTCTTTATAGCCACTATTTCCTACTTCAAGGTACTCCATGATGGAAATATCGCAACTCCTCATCCAATCAACGAAATAATGGCTGAGGAAGTGTAGCCAGCGTGGGTCAGAGTGCAGACACGCCCAGGCCAAGCTATGCACACGATGCAGAGAAGCGCTAATGGGTTTGAAAAGATTGAGAATAACAAAAATCTCCTTAGGCTGGCTGTGCAAGATCTACAGAGACAAGAGGAGGAACCTTCACCAATTTATATTGCTTTTCAAAGATATCCATACAAAAAAGCTCAAATTTCTAGCACTAAAGCCAAGGATTAAAGAAATGTTTGGCGACAAAGGTGTTACTTTACCTATCGATCATGACACTAGGACAACCTACTGTTTTATGCAGAGGCTAAAGCTGCATGCTGTGTTACAAAGGAGACAACTCATGGATGCCATACGACAGACCCATGGCGTGTTGAAAGCCAGCGAAGTAAAGCGAAAGGATTGTTAGCGATCAATACGGTGAATTGTCAAGAAAGAACATTTCACAGCATCTTATAAGGATTTGATGTGACAACGGTGCACCGGTGAATTCGATGAAGTACTTTTTCCCTGCTAAACTTCCCTTAGAATAATTCAGGCATAGTTCGTCAGAGTCCCCCACATAGATCTCCCGCACCGTAGAAGAACTTCTTTTCCGGTTAATTAGAAAAAGTCAAGACGAATTTATCATGAGCGCCTGTTCCTAGCGACTAGACTATTCCCTTAAAATTATAAAATTGCCTAAACACCAGATCTTTCAGTTAGCTCAAAAACTTTGCCATCAAAGATTAACACCCTCTTATTCTCGAGTAACTCATGAAAGATATGGAAATTCCAGATGTTAACTTCGTAGGCAACATGAAGGAATGCAAGATACAGGAAGCACTATGCAGCAAACAAGTAACTGATAGGGTTAGATCTAAAAGCGAGAAAGCTTGCCTTTCCAAACACGATTTCTCTGATTTTCACACGCCGCTTGCTCTTTCTCAGAAAAACAAACAATAGGGGTACATTCTGTGAAGTCAAGAGGGAATGATAAAGACATTAAAAAAGGAAAGGATCGCAATGAGAGTAGTATCACCTTTGTACTACCAGTAATATTACTGCAAGAATTAAATTATTAGCAAAGGCCAGACGAACTACTCACGATAGAAATCACCGACTACAAAAGGATTAGGATTCATAAAATTCATAAAAGGTATAGTAAAATCGCACACTTATACTGGAGTTGAAAGGAAATCGTACTTTACTATGAAACCAACCTCTTCTTCGGGTTCCGGAGAGGACGTAATGTTAAACTTCACACCTACGTCGGACATGGCGGCGGCGGCGACGGCTGCTAGCTTGGCAAAGCCTACAAGGAAAGGCTGAGAGTTCGGGCGAAAAACAACAACCACATATGGATGCAGCAATAAGTGAGAGATCGATCAGCCGCATATAAACGACGACGACAAGGGTTGCGGTGTGTGAGGGCCC